TCAGTGACCTGTACAATGAAATTATAATCTCTTTAGACTTTTATTCAATATTTCTGTAGATACAATCTAAAATCCTATTTATCCTACCACTAGCAGTAGCACACTGCTTAGATGGCATTAGAGACTGATACTATTACACAAAGTTCCCGTTCCTTCATAACACTGTTAAGGTTATTCCCATTCATATTATTCTTGTAATTCAAATTATGATAACCCATCTCCCATTTATTTGCCCAACTCACTAAATGATCTAAATCCTTTTGTAAATCAGTATCATCTGCAAATTTAAGTAATTTATTTACTATTCCTTCATCTATGTCATTGATGTAAATCAAAAAGAACAAAGGTCCTAAGACTGAGCCCTGATGTATCCTACTTGTGACATTAATCCAGTTTAACTGAACTCCATTTGTAACAACCCTCTGATTTCTTTCATCCAACCACTCTTCTATCCAATTTGCTAACTTATCCCCCACAGCTATCACCTCCCTTGAAAAGAGGAGTTACATTAGCTAACTTCCAATTCTCTGGTACTTGCCCACTATTCAAGGACTGACAAAACATAGTAGTAAGTGGCTCACATATCCAATCTTTAACTTCGTTCAAAACCCTTGAGGAAATATTGTCTGGCCCAGGAGCCTTATTGTTTTTCTAATTTTTTCTTAAGCAGTACAGATTTAATGCTGTAATCTTGTGTGATCTCGTTTCAATTTATCAGCTGTTCAAGATGTGGAATACCGCTTAAATCTTCGTTAGTAAAAACCAAATAAAAAGCAAAGTTTAATAACCCAGCCATCTCATAATCATCAGATACTAGCCTTCCTTTATCATCCCTCAAGGGTCCTACCCCATCCTAACATTTTGTTTACCTTTAATGTATTTAAAGAAATCCATACTGTTAATTTTTATATTTTCAGCCAACCTTTTCTCATACATCTGTTTTGATGTCATAATTTCCTATTTCACCAACTTTCTTGATCTTCTATAATCTTCCAAGTATCCTGTCATACTAGTCCATTTATGTTTTTTAAATTTATGATGCTTTTCTTTAATTTTATCTCTTGTACTCTTTGTGAGCCAACCTGGTTTTGTACTTACTGCTACCCTTTTCTTTCTATAAGGAATACGTTTACCTTGAATATTTAGAAATTTATCTTTAAAAATTTTCCACGTCTGATCAGTGTCTCAGATAATCATTTTGTAGCTTTGTAGAAATATTCAAAATATACAAGCAAACAATGTTAAATGTTTAGACTTTTTAAATTTGCATATTTCAAAGTTGTAATTTTAGTGTTTTTTGATATTTAGCATATTTTCATTTTTCTATTTGAGAAGATATTTTACTGATATATTCTGCTCAAAATTTAAAGAAAGAACAAATATAGTAATTTGATTATTTCAAAGAAGTTTTCTATATGTATGGCATATATAGGTATGACATATTTCAGTAAAAGAATTACCATTTATTTTTAGTTTTCTCTTTCAATTTCAGACTTGAATATATGAAGAAACTAAAAGTGATATTTAACTAGCCAAGTCTTAAAAGTCTTTTAACCCAACTTGTTTAATTTATTATTGTAAATAAGACTTCAACATAATGACAGCTCCCAGTGAAGTATCACTTGTTTCATATATCTGTATCTTTCTGTCTTTTTGGTGATTTGTTCTCTTAATCAAGAAACAGCAGTTTTATACAAATTAAAACTAGGCCAATCTGTTACAACTATACCTACAGTGGGATTCAATGTAGAAACTGTAAAATACAAAAATGTGAAGTTCAATGTATGGGTGAGTTTACATTTACTTATTTTTCTTAATTGTACAAAGCAAACCTTATAAATGCATTTGTAGATTAGCATATGTATTACATAGATTATATAACCAGCTGTTCATTAATACAAAAAAACTGGGATTGCTTACAGTACATGATATTATTAAAGTAACTGAAGGCTTGGAAGATGTGATATTGTTAATGTAACTAGGAGGACCTGATGTGATATTGTTATTGTAACTAGGAAGACTTGCAAGATGTGGTATCGTTTAAGTAACTAGGAAGACTTGCAAGATGTGGTATTGTTTAAGTAACTAGGAAGACTTGCAAGATGTGATATTGTTTAAGTAACTAGGAAGACTTGCAAGATGTGATATTGTTTAAGTAACTAGGAAGACTTGCAAGATGTGGTATTGTTTAAGTAAGTAAGAAGACTTGCAAGGTGTGATATTGTTAATGTAACTAAGAAGACTTGCAAGGTGTTATATTATTTTAAGTAACTAGAAAGACTTGCAAGATGTGATATTGTTAATTTAACTAAGAAGACTTGTAGTGTATGCCATTGTTGAAGCATCTAGTTAGTGTTCATTGTATGATATTGTTAAATAGAAGACTTGAAAAATGTGCTATTGTTAATGTAGGTTTTGGCTTGCTTAAATTTGGGATAGTTTTTATGATCATTTTGTTTATGAGTAAAGAAAATTGCTAGACCTCTAGTTTTTTCTTTTGTGTGTAACTAATTTATAGCTGTTTCATAAACATTACTTGGATTTAAAATCGGTTTCTGATTCCAATAATTTCATCCAAAGTTATTTAAATGTTTATACATGTTGAAATATACATAGTTTATTTTTAACAATGATGTAATATAAGTTTTTTAATTGAATTAATAGATTTGTTTAAGCTGAAATTATAAAATAAAGATTTTCCACAGATGTTTAGTGATGTTTTTTATGCACTCTGTGTTATGTAGGATGTTGGTGGCCAAGACAAAATCCGCCCATTATGGAGGCATTACTATACTGGAACTCAGGGTCTTATTTTTGTAGTAGACTGTGCAGATCGAGATAGAATAGATGAAGCTCGTCAAGAGCTACATAAAATAATCAATGATAGAGAAATGAGAGATTCTATTATTCTCGTGTTTGCTAATAAACAAGATTTACCTGAAGGTAAGTCTTCTTCATTACTTTGTTTACAGCAAAATTTATGTAAAGGAAATTTTTTAAGCTAAAAAAATCATGTTCTCAGGCATTTAATATATCTATTGTACTTGTCTATGCTAATTAGGTTTTATCCATTTTTTCCAGAGTTTTCTTAAATTTCTTACCCTTTATTTTTCTCCCACCAGAGGTGAGTATTACAACATTGTTTATAAAAAAATTGTTTTGGAAACTAAAATTATAATTCATATTACAAAAAATGAATCTGATTAAAATTCTGCCTTAACTTTCTCTTGAGTCTTTGATGCTACATTAAGTCTTGAAATTAACTTTTATTTTTTAAATAACTAGAGGTAGTAATAATGATAGTTATTTTAACCCTTAGTTTATCATTTTGTTTTTATACGATACTCTACTGGTTGGATCTGTATATTGTATCATATTTAATAATTCTATATTTTTGCCTGCTACACCACTCACTGTAAAAAACTGACAAAAAATTGGAATAAGACGTCCATTTTATTTGTAAAATGCACAGAGAAATCTCAAGATTAATTGTAACATTGATGGTATTCATGTTTACATATTGTTGTGTGACTCATGTTATTAGGGCCTTTATAACCAACAGTCATGGACCCACAAGCAATTTGATACATTTATAGTTCAGAACAATGTGTTAAAGACACTGTGGACCTATTGGTAATTTTAGAGTTAATGATTCAGTTCAAAAGAAGGACAATGGACTGATTGAGGAAATCTAATTTGATGGTATCAGTATCATACGTTCTTGACACTTCACTTATCCTGGAGATTACCTATTGTTTTATTATGAGCTAATCTTGGCTATGCCCATGGGCAGTGTAAAGGATAGATGTAGAGTACTCTGCAGCTGTTTTAGGATGTACCTTGAGTTCTGCTTCTGTATCTATTTTTGTGGTTTGCAAAAGTTTGTCCTATATCTAAGGTGGAAGGTGTTACTTGTAGATTGTGCCTACATTATTCTGGACTCCTCTCTTTTTCTGTGGAGATAATAGCCTGTAGTCACAAGTGATTCATGAGTTGATTTTCTTAAGATACTGAAGAAAATCTCAGCTAAATTAAAGTCTACAGTTTGTGGTTACCTTTACTATCAATTACAGATAGGTTCTTCACCTAGTGATTTTTTATAAACTTTTCCAAAAATGACTAAAGTTTTATACAAAGTGATGACTGATCACAATGTTTGAAACAATTTGTAAGATTACCACAGATGAGTCTATTTTTGATAAGAGGAAGTATGCAATATGTTTTTCATCTAGTTTCAAGTACATTTCTTTTTTTCAGCAATGAAACCCCATGAAATACAAGAAAAACTTGGACTTACTCGTATTCGTGATCGGAACTGGTATGTTCAGCCTTCCTGTGCAACAACTGGTGATGGTTTATATGAAGGACTTACCTGGCTCACATCAAACTATAAATCTTGAGAAAGGCAAGAAATGAAAAAAGAAAGGTTTTGTTTTCTATCTGTTGATTGAACGAGAATGATATCCCTACCATACATAGGCTCGTTTGTTATCTCCTGAACTTAATTCAGAAGACTTTTAAATTATGTTTTATCTTCCTTGTTATTGTGTGCCTGATGAAGAAATCATATGCATGTGGATTTAAAATGTTTATAACAAGTGCATGAATGTTGACTTACATGAAGCTAAGTAAATCAGTTGTGAATATGATAGTCTTTATATGAAATATAGTTACATGTGGATATATCAAAATTAAAACAGTTCTTGTTATACAAAGTTGTAAATAAAGCACAGACATTTTCTTTCAAGATTTTGAGTGTAATCAGTATGTGTGTTGAATAAAAAATAACTTGTAGTTATGTCATCATAGTATGAGACTTGAAAGAACAAGATTTGTATGCAAGTGAATAAATGAAAAATTAATTTGTTTTATCAAAATTTGAGGAGTTTGTGTACCGTATAAAATAATACTAAATGAACTAATTAGATAAGTATAATTAAAAGTACTGCAACTTGAAATATGGTTTATCAAAATTAACAGAATATTTAAGGGTTAAAAATTATTACTGCATTATAATCAGGCAATTAAGCAAACTTTACACAGAGCAAAGAAAAAGTACTCACTAATATGTGTTATCCCAACTTGAGTTTTCACACTAAAGAAAGTCACAGAGGAAAGAAAGAGTACTCACAAAAATGTGTAATCCAAACTTGAGTTTTCACACTAAAGAAAGTCACAGAGGAAAGAAAGAGTATTCACTAATATGTGTAATCCAAACTTGAGTTTTCACACTATAGAAAGTCACAGAGGAAAGAAAAAGTACTCACAAAAATGTGTAATCCAAACTTGAGTTTTCACACTAAAGAAAGTCACAGGGGAAAGAAAGAGTACTCACTAATATGTATAATCCAAACTTGAGTTTTCACACTAAAGAAAGTCACAGAGCAAAGACAGAGTACACACTAATACATGCAATACAAACTTGGGTTTTCAACCTAAAGAAATTCACAGAGCAAAAAGGGTACTCCCATGTAATCCAAACTTGAGTTTTCACACCACAGAAATTCACAGAGCAAAGATAGAGCACTCACATGTAATCCAGAGTTGAGTTTTCACACTAAAGAAAATCACAGAGCAAAGAGTACATACTAATACACGTAATCCAAACTTGGGTTTTCACACTAAAGATATTTGTAGAGAAAAGAGGGAGTACTCACTAATACATGTAATCCAACTCAGTTGACACAAAAAAATGTAGTTCAGAATAAAGTTGAAAATATATAACTTCATCAAAGAGACTTGAAAATTCAAATTGCAGATAAATCTGTACCTGAATATAAGGTCAGTGCTTAACAAACCTTGCGCTTCAAGTGATGCTATAGATAGATGGTACTTCTGAATAACTTAACCCTGATGAAAGATAATTTTCATTCAACCACATTAGCTAAAAACTAAATAACAGTAATAGTTTTGAAGATAGTTTAATAGAAACATTATTTCTGAGGTAAGTTGGATATTTGTTTGAATGAATGGTTGATTATTAGTGAAAGAAACTCCTTTAATTACAAATATCAGTACAAGGATAAAAAAGGAACAGCAAGAACAATGGATATAAAAGATTTCAAGAACACAGGCAATACTTACGAGTGATACAAGGGTAGTAGAATCGTTGTGATGGTAAGTACTTATTATGTGGTAATTAAAAAGAAAATATTAGTAACTAATTAATGATTAGCATAAAGTGACCATTTAGGCTACTAAACATGACAACGATTGGTAGCTGATTGGCTCAAAAAATATGCAATAGAAAGAAATTCAAAAACTGAAGCAAAATAAAAGCCTTTCAAATTATTTTGAAATAAGAATGTATAGCTGTCTAGAGTGTTCTTCTTTTACCAGTGTACATTTCCATCAGGATACTGTTTGAGACATTTCTGTATGGGAACATTAGTGAAGCAAGTTTTCTCTTACATACACTGTTAATATGCACCTATTATTAATACAGATGTGTTTGAAAGATTTTTGTTCTTATGTTTTAGGTGTAATCATAACTTGATTTTTTTGTACTTAGTAAATATCCTGTTGAAATGTTTTATTTAAAGACAGTAGTCATTGCTAATCAAGTTCTCATGACATAATTTACTTTAGTAGAATTTCTGAATAAAATAAAGTTTTCATATTTATGAGTTTTAATATTATTTTTGTCAGTTATTTAAACTAAGATAAGTTTTAGTGAATAGTAGCAAATTCCTTTAAAGTAAAAAAACATATATAGTAATTATTCTGAAATAATTAACACAGTTCAGGATTTTTTTTTAATTTGGTTATCAGACATATAACCTGTATTTTGAGGGTGAACTGAACTATTTTATTTAACTTGTTACTTTTTTCAAGAATGGTAAATTACAGATGATTTCACGGTTCCTTTCAATTTAAAGAAAGATAGTTGCCATGAAGAAATAGCTGTATACATACATAAATTTATTTAATTTTCAGTGAGGTATTAAGAAGCTGAACTGTGTATGCATTATAAGTAACTTGCCTACTAAAAATTAGTTTTTAATATTGCAAGAATTAGAATATATAGACTAAATAGTAGTAATTATTTGGAATGTTAAAAAAAAATCAGTGTAGTGAAATATTCTAAACTCATATTCATTGTGCGGGTTAGAATGTTTTTTTTATCTTCCGAAGAATTCAAAACCTATGTAGTCTATTATTCATCCCGCTTTTATAAAATAAAGCTATTTTAATGCTTTCTTTGTGACTTATTTCCACGCACACAAGCTAACAAATGCTATGTGTTTAGGTACTATGTGTTACATTAAACAATAATTAACTGGTAAGTAGGACAACAGATCACTTTGTTGCCCGAAACTACCAGTCAATAATCATTTTATTATACCTCCCCCCATTTGTTTTTGGTTTAACTAAAATATGATTAATTGGCATTTTCACATAGTATAAATATATATACATCCTAAAGTTCAACACTTCACTCAAGATTTTGATCTCATTTTAATAATCATTTAGTATGTAATAAGACAATAAAATAGAAATTGTTTGATTTTCAAAATATAACAACTTATCATCATGTGATCATACCAATAAACTTATAAAGTACACACCTACCTGACTTTAGCATAAAATTTGCCTAGAGTACTAGCAAGGTTTCCAATGTGTTTGTAACCTAGGGCTAAGTCAGTGCTTTCCAAAGTGGGTGTTGCGACACCTTGGGGTGCCACTTTGTACCCTGAGGGGTGTCACCTTGTTTTTGGAAATTGCACAGATTGTTTTATTAAGTTTTTATTTTTATTTGTAGCTGTTATAAAATGCAGTAATATGAAATATTTTTAAATTTGCTCGCCGATGTGACACGCAAACAATTATCAAATGTTTTCTTTTGGGGCACACAAAACAAAAAAAGGTTCACCAACACAGCCTTGTGTAGTGACAGATAAAGTTGGGAGCCCTGATGCACCAGTTTATACTCGTCTCTGCAGTGTTGAATTATTTTTGATGCGTACATAGTGTGTTGCTATTAAAAAAGTTTGAAAAGCACTGGCCTAAATGAATTGGCATGTTTTCACTATGCTGCACAAATTGTTTTCTGTCTGCTGTGATGTCATGCACACATGGCAGTGACCTTGACAACCAGGCAACATTTATTCCCCAACCGTCAAGGTGACATAGAAAGAGGTTTCATACCTGAGGATACAGTCTTTGCCAATTACAGCAAGGAATTCATGATAATACTTATTATTGAGTTACGTCTGAAATTCTTTGTTGAATTTGAATTCATATTGTCAACAAAACGTGACTCAAAATTTCCAGATGTTATTTATGCATTACAGGGCATGCATCTCTTACCCATAATTTTCCACTCTTCCATCTTCAACATGACTTATTGCACATGATTTTCTTGTTGACATTCATGATGTTACCTTTGCTACAATTTTCTTTCAGATCCACTTCTTTCCCCACTGTTGGAATTTTTATAACTTAGTTGATGCATTCATTATGATAGTGCATAACCTTCAGATGCTTTGTTTCCAATTCTGGGTACAACTTCTCTTTAGAGAAATTGTTTCTCTTTGCTTACACTCTGTTTCATTATCTCGGGTCTTGGCTAAGACTGGTTAGTCCCATTGTCTAGTTCTTCTTATTGTCCCACACTGATCTGCTCCACAATGGTTTCTACTGCTCTCATCTATCTCAAAGGATCCTACTCCATTACTCTTTTGATATGCATTCCACAAAAACATTTCTCATCTACAGCTGGCAAGATATGTGATCCTTTGTTAACTAACTTGGATTCTTTTCTTGGGTAGCTCAATTTTTGTCACATTGTTACAGTCATTTCTCCCTAGCAGTATACCAACAAGGTTGGTATATCTTTAGGAGTTAGTGCATGTGGAATTTGGTTTGTCTTTCTCCAAATCCTCAACAGCTTGCCTAATTTTTTTCATGCTCCTTTTTCATGACTGGGACTTGTCTGCTTCTATTGCAGGCTGCAGATGTTATACTTTCAGCCATTTTCAGTTACCACTGTTGGCCTCACTTTTAAAAATTCCATTTTGAGTACATCTCCCATAAGTACATATACATTATCCTCACTGAGATTTAGGTCTGGTCTTAAGTTGCCTGACTTCTCATTTTGAAACCTTCACAACTTGTTCAGTCTACCATCTTTTACCTGAGGATGTATTTTGTTACTTGATTCTTGGAAGAGGTGATCAGACATTTTTATTATTGATGCTTCTCACACTTCTTTTTTGTATTGTTGTATTGCATATTCTGACTGATCCTGATTCTTCTACCGAATTTCTTATTATATCTCATCACATTGCCATTTGTCAATATCTCAGGACTCCCAGTCTCTCTACCCTTTAATGGATATCTTACAGGCAGGCATGATGATATATCGAATACTTTTTTTGTTATGTTACCTTCATCACATCACTGTATCTCTAGTTTTAGGATTCTGTTTGCCACCTGTGGTTATTCTTGAGGGACAATGTATCTGTATCATGCATTTTTTTATATTCTGCCCAACACCCGTTACAATGAAATACAGTATCTTCTTATATTGTTTCATCTAATCAAGGTTCTGCCATGTTCTTTAACATCTGCATTTGTTCTAAGTAACCCATGTATTTCTATATCACCCAACAACTATGTTCACAATTCTAGTGGAGTCTGAGATTACGATATTATTTGATTATATGTTTATCCTATGCAAAATTTCATCCTCTATACCCTGTGAAAGTGGACAGAGGGTGCCATCAGGTGGCAAGCACACCTTTGTGTGGTATTAAAGATATCATAAACAGGATTACCATTATAACTAGGTATCTCAGCTCCTGCCAGGATGGGGATTATCTATATATCCTTTCTTATTTATTTCTTTATGTTTTGGTGTTCACATTGCATTGTTCTAATGTTGTCCTTGGGGATTGCTTGGTGCTTTTTTAGATTCTTCCTGAGTGCTAACTAATTTGACAGGTTGTATGAGCCACTGGTCATTTTTGATAGGTGCTACTACCTCTGGAGGATGTCATTTCACAATGTGTGTATCACCTTCATCCCAAGAATCTTGTACTGCAGGAGCAAAACATAGTATTCTTCCTGTCTGCCATCACCTGTGCTCCATTGGTGGTTCCATAGATTCAGTATACTATTACTGCTCTCAAAACCTACACCATTGCCTGAATTAAAGGTCATCATGGGTGAGAAGGTATCATGTTGAGAAGAGCTTCTTCATCCTAAGCATCCAACAGGCCTACTCATTTTAATCCAAAGTTATGTATGAAATCTCTGATTGTGTTTATTACTTATATAAAATCAAGATTGAAACATTAGGGCTTTAATGAGTGATATTATATTGCTTTCAATGCAAAAAAAATAAAATAATAATAAATCTTATCCAGAAAATAAACAAACTGAAAGGTAGACTAAATTTAGAAAGAAACGTAATGATCTTATAGATTTAGTAATTTTGGTTTTATTCCTATTTTGGAAGCCCTTTTATTTTTGTCTATATTTCAGAAGCAAAATTAAAGCTAGCCAGAATATTCATGACAAATCAAGGCTTAAATATTGGGAATTTTTATGAAAAGCATACATCAAATGCATGTTTTTAGTCAAATAACACGGAAAAAACATTTTCACTAAATTTTAGAAAAATACTAAGGTCAATTTTTACAATAAAATCACTTTTTTGTGACAATTTAAAGTGTATATTTTGAGGCAAAATTTAATGTAAAATCTCCAGTTGTGTTTATTTCTTAGAAAGATTCAAGACTGAACCATTAGGACTTAATTTAGAAGTGTTGTATCATTTCCACAGCTAAAAAATCAATGTTTTGTTACCCAGAATAAAAGCAAACTTAAATGTGGACTATTTTTCTAGAATTAGAAATTTTGATTGAAATCTTCTATTGTTTGTCTTTTCTTCACAAGTAAATTAATATTGAAAGTACCAGGAATATTCATGACAAAGCAAGGCTTAAATATTGGAGTTTTTATGAAAAGAGTTCCATTCTGAAGAGTGTACATCAAGTGCATCTTTCTAGTCAATGAATGCGAGAAAAACTTTTTGATGCAATTTTTGAAAAATACCAAGGCTATAGTCCTGGTAATTTTAACGATAATTGTTTTTTGAAACAAGTAAAAAAAGTCCATATTTTACGGCAAAATGTAACGTGAAATCTCCAGTTGTGTATATATCTCAGGAAAATTCAAGACTGGACTATTTGGACTTTAACTAAAGTGTTATAACGCTTGCAGAGCTAAAACAAATACTTTTCTCTTATCCAGGATAAAAATTCTCTTAAATGTAGAATACATTTAGAAATATAGTGTAATGACTTTCTAGAATAAGGAATTTTTATTGAAAACTCCTAATTTTCAAATCCTTCTTTTGTGTCTTTTCTTCACAAGTAAACCGATTTTGAAAATAGCCAAAATATTCATGACAAAGCAGGGCATAAATATTGGAGTTTTATGGAAAAAAAAAAAAAGTTCCATTTTGAAAAGCGTACATCAAGGGCATCTTTCTATTCAATGAACGTAAGAAAAACATTTTGATGCGACTTTTGAAAAATATCAAGGCTATAGTCCTGGTAATTTTGACAAAAAAATTAATTTTTGAAACGCGTAAAATAGTCCGTATTTTAAGGAAAATGTAATGTGAAAACTCCAATTGTGTTTATCTCTTCAACAAATCTAGATTGAACTGTTAGGACTTCAATGAAAAGTGTTACATCGCTTCCAGAGCTTTTCTTCTTCTTCTCTTATCCAGAATATAATCAAACTTAATAGTGAATTACATTTGGAAAAATGATGTTTTAGAATTAGGAATTTTGATGATATCTCCTATTTTTGAAACCATTTTTTTGTTTGTCTTTTCTTCAAAGGTAAACTAATATTTAAAGTAGTGGGAATATTCACGACAAAGCAAGGCTTAAAAAGTTTTTATGACAAAGAGTTCCATTTTGAAAAGCATACATCAAGTGCATCTCGCTAGTAGAATAACGTGAAAATAAATTTTTTTCCATGCAATTTTTTAAATATACCAAAGCTGTATCCTTGCCAATTTTGACAAAAAAATAATTTATGGAACACGTACATATTTTAAGGAAAGATGGAGTGTTTGTATGTATGTTTGAAGTATTGAAATAAGCTTAATGTTAAACCTTGGAATATATGTGTGGAAAATTGAACTCAGTTTAACGTTGAGACTTAGGATGTATATGTGAAATACTAAGTTACATTTATTGTTGAACCTCGGGATGTATATGTGAAATATGGAACCGAGTTTCATATTGAGCCTTCGTAGTTGTGGAATATTGAACTGAGTTTAATGTTGCCAGTTCGTATCAAATCAGGGACCACAAGAAATACAACTATTGATGCTCTAGATTTAGTTATTATAAAATGAATATGTTGTGATAGTATTGAGTTATTTTATACTTTAGTCCAAATCAAATAATATACAAAAATATGAAGATTAATCATTTGATAACAGAAATTTTATAAGAAGAATATTTATATATTTTAGAGAGTTTATCCACACAATACACACTGTTATGGTTAAAACCTAAAGTTGGATAACTACTAGTAGTAAAAAAAGTATAGTAACAAGTTCTTTGCTTCGAAATAATATGGTTGAGAGAAGTACATTAAAACATTTAGTTATATTTTCATAAAATTTCTTTGTCTTCTATTTGATTACATGTTGAAAATAATTGCCCCCTTGTATAGACAAGTTATAGGTTCATGACAAAACATGTAAATATGTGGGTAAATTACAGAAGATATATTGGTATACATTTGTGATATATCTTGTTAATTAAGATGTGTGTGTGGTAGCCAGCCCTACAAGTAATACTTTATTTCAAAAATATAAATATAATAGAAAAAAATTTCTCTGTTCATATAACATGCATCTAAAGGTTGTAATAAATGTAATGTTACTGTAACATCAAAATTAGTAAAATAAAGGAATTAAAGCACCTGATCTTTTTGAGTAGAATCAGCTTACAGTTGCATTAACTATTTTGTTCACAAGGGCCTATGAAAAATAACATCTTTGTGGCATTTTATTATTAGTTTTAAAGTTGAAAGTACCTAACTACCATGGAAGCCTAAACTGTGCATTGTTTTCTTCTTTAAACAAATATTTTTTAAGTTGCTGAATGTATTTTGGTAAATACAGTTTTCAATAAAAAAAAATATTTTATAGATTTTTTGGCCATTAAGATAAATGTATTACTTTTAAGGAAGGTTTTGGGTAACATTTCTATTTGATAACAATTAAGATTCATTTTCACCAGCAATTTTGTTCAGAAACTTCAACCTTTGTTGTTGTTTAGCCTCCTTTCCAACAGTATCTTACCATTTATGATTAACTTACAAAGTAATTTGAAGTATAATTCTTGAGAGAAGATATAACACTTACAGAGTAATTTGAAGGATTATTCTCAAGAGATGATACAACACCTACAGAGTAATTTGAAGTATTATTCTTGAAAGAAGATGTAACACCTACAGAGTAATTTGAAGTATTATTCTTCAGAGAAGATATAACACCTACAGAGTAATTTGGAGTATTATTCTTCAGAGAAGATATAACACCTACAGAGTAATTTGAAGGATTATTCTCAAGAGATGATACAACACCTACAGAGTAATTTGAAGTATTATTCTTGAAAGAAGATGTAATACCTACAGAGTAATTTGAAGTATTATTCTTGAAAAAAAGATATAACACCTACAGAGTAATTTGAAGGATTATTCTCAAGAGATGATACAACACCTACAGAGTAATTTGAAGTATGATTCTTGAGAGAAGATATAACACCTACAGAGTAATTTGAAGTATTATTCTTCAGAGATGATACAACACCTACAGAGTAATTTGAAGTATTATTCTTGAAAGAAGATGTAATACCTACAGAGTAATTTGAAGTATTATTCTTGAAAAAAAGATATAACACCTACAGATTAATTTGGAGTATTATTCTTCAGAGAAGATATAACACCTACAGATTAATTTGAAGTATTATTCTTGAAAAAAAGATATAACACCTACAGAGTAATTTGAAGGATTATTCTTGAGAGAAGATATAACACCTACAAAGTAATTTGAAAGGTTATTCTCAAGAGATGATACAACACCTACAGAGTAACTTGAGGATGTTGTTTCACTCATTGTGTGCAAATAATCTAAAAACGTTAAAATATATCAAACCACAAGTGTTTATAAAATTCACTAAAGTAGTGATGTGATGATTATAGCAGTTAATACATAGAAACTGGTGTATACATATTAATCCACTCAGTTCTGGTACAAATCCATTGTACTCTGATATTAATACTGCTCCATTATTAACCTACTCAGTCATTCTGCTTTGATATTAACCTGTTCAATCACTTTATTTTAATATTAACATGTTCGGTCAGTGTATAAATCATAGACATTATGCTATATGTGTTTAAAGTAGAACTGTAGTGGTAAAAACTGGATAACGATGGAGTAATAACTATGACAAAGGACGGTTATTACTTGTGTGTGTGTTGTAGTATAAATGTGATAACAAAATAGAGAAGATACTGTGCCTAAAACTAAGTTTGAGGATAATTTTTTTATATATGTTCTTAACAAGTTATGTACACAAAGACTTAGGGTTACCTAACAAATGATGCATAAAAGTTGTTGGTAAGGAAGTATACACCTGGAAAAAAGTTAAGCACCCCCAAATATTTTTCAGGATTGCTTATTG